AGTAATAAAAGTCTTTTATTTAATGAAGGATCATAAATGTTATCATGAAAAAAATAATTATTTATATATATAAATTTAGAAACCTTATAAATATTTTGAGACATTTAAAAAAATAATAACAAGTAAATAAAATGAGAAGTATATAGAAAAAACACTAAAAAGAACTTTTTCTATATAAAAAAACGGAAAGAGTATTTTTTTTTTTTTTTTTTATTTTTTTTTTTTTTTTTTGGCAGTTTGGTCATGACAATACAAAATCAACTCTATTTGGTAGATATTTCTTAATATTTTTTTTTTTTTAATTTTTTTTTAAATTAATAACCTGATTTGGAAGAAGACAGGAGATGAGTATGAGCCATACGGTTCAAAAAAAAAAAAACATTACAAACAAAGTAATCATCTCGGCAGTCGATTCGACATAGATGTTCAATAACACAGAAGAAATCAGCTTTCACAACGAATACACATACAAATCGCACCATCGATACGTGTTTGGCTGACGCTGTGCTGGGGGCCCAAACACTATTCAAGCTTCTAATTCAGAGTGCTGAAACCATAAATCAAGTTTAAATATGTAAAAATGGAAATCGCGAGTTTTTTTTTTTTTTTTTGGCAGTTTGGTCATACATACAATAATAACTTTGGTAGATATTCTAAATATTTTTTTTTTAAATTTTTTTTATTAATAACTTGATTTTGGAAGATAGACAGGAGATGAGATGACTACTGGTCAAAAAAACATTACAAACAAAGTGAATCATCTCCGGCCATCGGATTCGATAATTTCAATAACACAGAAGAAATCAGCTTCAACAATACACATACAAATCACAAATCGACACGTGTTTGGCTGAGCTGTGTTGGGCCAAACACTATTCAACTTCTAATTTCAGAGTCTGACCATAAATCAATGTTAAATCATTAAAATGGAAATGCGAGTAACGTAGTATGGCCACTAAAAACTACACACCTACCCATATTCTACACGGTATAACTTCCTCTTCACACAATGTCAGACCTTTGCCTACTTTAGATTTCAATCTATACAGTGAGATCAAGCATACTGATCCGCTTGGCCCTTCTATAATTTAATGGTACACCCGATTGCATGCGATTATACTCCTCTTGGATTTTAAACTAATCAAGAGATTAACGAGACTACTCACTCACTACTCATTGAAAAAGATGAAAACTCTAATTACTATAGCTCTTAAATAATCACACGATCTGACGCTTTCGAAAACGAGCCCAGGGTTTATAAACTGAGGACCATTGCTTTGTATCACTCTCCCGCGAAAAATTGCAAACGAACAAACCGCCATTTCTTTTGTCGTCTATACCTGCACGAAATTCCCTCCGTCAACCTCCAGACCGCAGCACTAGACATAGGATGATTTTTAGGTACTTAATCACCATTGCCAGTTTACAATTATTTCCATTTATGATTAACATTAAATAATTACTATTCAAATATAATAAGTTTGGATTGGGTTGAGCTCATGGACTCAACAAATGGGTGCAATGGATGATTAATTAAATTAAATTAAAATATTATAAAATAAAATAATACTCCTTCAATATATTTTTATCTATCGCTTACAATTAGTTATTTGGTCTAAAATTATTTATCAAAAAAAAATTGAGAATTATTAATTAATCTTTCAATTTTCTCTTTATTTCTATTAAATACAATAATTATATTTTATAATTTTCTAAAACCTTGCTCATAATTTATATTTTTCTCTCTTAATTCTAGTGACATATTAATATAGATAATTTAATCAAATTAAGAAGTATGTATTTAATATATTTATTATATACTTAAGTAAATTTTATATATTGTTGAGTGTATAATATATACATTTTATTATATTTTCAACGTATTAAATAATTTTTATTAAACATTACTCTCTCCATTTCATCATTCTTTTTCTTAAGTTAGCTTTTTTCTTTTTTTTGAATATTGGGGAGAAGATTCGAATTTGAATTCATTGTCAGGTCATATATGCACTTACTACTAGATTAAGCATTAATGTGCCTTAATTTTAGCTTTTAAACTTATAAATATAGTTAATAAATTAAATTAATATTGCTTATTTTTTTTGATATAATTGTATATTAATTATTAAATACTCTAATTTTTTTAAATTAAATGACTCCATTATTAAATTATTCTTGAAACAAATTAAAATTTTATTTTTAATGGAAGAATCAAGACAATCTAAATATAGAATTAACTAATATCAGTCACAATAATAACAATTTTGTTAATAAAAATGCACATCAAATATGGTTAAATAAAAACTTAAAAAATTATCTTCTTTTAGAAAAGGTTAATTAGACTAAAAGTTGAGACAAATAAAAGAAATTAATAGGAAAAAAATTACGAGACAAAGGAAATACAATGTGATAAATAATTTAATATAATTTTTTAAAATATAACATTTTCTTAAATAGTTAACATTTAATGATAATAATGTTTAACTATAATTAGATATGAATTATGCGCTCTTTGCTACATAAAAATAGGCATGAACATGGTTCGATTCTAAATCAGAATCAGATCAGTTAAAATCGAAATCGAACAGTGGTCAATGGTCCAAAGTTTCAAACTATAACAAAAATCGGCGGTTTAAGGTTTGGCTGTGGTTCCCTATATTTGAAAATTAAAACCGGCGGTTTCGATTTGAAATTAGTGGTTCCGGTTTGAAACCGTTCAAAAAAACATATCATACTTCACAAGTGATCTTTAATTGTTAAATTAATTTTATTTTTCATTATTAAATGCAGTAACTTTACCGTCATCTTAAAATTTATTAATATAAATATAAATTATAAATTATAAGTTGAAAAGGAGAAAAAAATTGGTCCTCTTTTAAATCTTTTTAATTTAAATCTTTTATCCTTTATAATATATATTTTTTACATATAAAACCAATGGAGAAAAAAATTGTCCTCCTTTTAAATCTTTTAATTTAAGTCTTTTATCGCTTTCATAATATATATTTGTTACATGATAAATGATTAAACCTAGATAGTATATTAAGCGATCTTATATATATTTTTTACATATAAATTAAATAATATTTATTTAAGATTTATTTTTGAGTTTTAAATAAAATAAAAGACATTTTTCTCCCTTAAAATGTAAAAAAAGGCAATTTGAAAGGTATTTTTTGGAATGAAAATTTATATTGTAATTTTTTTAACTTTTAATTTAGATAAAAAGACGTTTTGACCCTTTATAACGATAAAAAAATGGCAACTTGAAGGATATATTTTGGAATAAAAAATTCATATTTAAGATTTTTTTTGTTAATTGTTAAATAAAATTAAAGGATATTTTGATACTTTATAACGGTAACCAAACGGAAAATTTGAAAGGTATTTTTATGAATAAAAATTTATAAGTTAGCTATAAACACCTTAATAATTTTTCTTTTTTTTTTCACAATATCAATTTTTTTCTCTAAACTCCATTGAATTTCTCCTATCATTTCTTTTCTCCTAATATAAATTAAGTAAAAGTCCATTTTTTGACATGTCTCTCAATTTAAATTTATAGAAGTTAAATACTAGTAAAGAATTTTAAATTTATGTTTTGTGTAGTTCTAATTTTTTAATAAATTTTAAAACTATTAATTTACTCTTTTAGTCTTTTTTTAATTTAATTTTTTAAATAATAGTTTTAAAACTATTAATTTATCAGCTTCTTTGTTGAGTCTTTATTTAAGTATTATATAGCTATGTAATTGTAGTATTAATTTTATATTTAGCTAAGATTACATATTAAAAATTGATCTGAAAAAAAGTATAATGCTAATTCAAGTCGGTTCCAAGCTGCGCAAGGCGCGGGGTAGCTAGAAGCCACCCAGCGTTTTTCCAAAGCCGCTAAAAGGCGGGTTGCGATTCTGGGTATCCTACTATTACATGGAAATCGGCGATGTTCTTGAAAACCATGGTTATGCTTTACAGTAAAAAATAGCTCTTGCCTGTTGATTTTGCGTTTGCTGATGAACCTGATAGAATAATTGTTGGATAATTATATGATAAACATAGTACGTTAAAATTGACAATTTCTGATGCTTAAATTGATGAACTTAGATTATGCGCTTGTATATTTTTTTATTCAAATTGATCATTATTTCTGATTTAATATATTAATATAATGATATTAATTATTATTATTATTAGTATTTAGTTATTATTTATTTTGATATTATTTATTTGGAAAGATAAAATTAAGTGAAGGATAGAAATGAACGAAATATAAAAATAAAAGTACTTATTATAGATAGTGGAATAAAGTAAAAAGCAAAGTGAGCTGCAATTGTGTCTGGAAGAAAAAATTAAATTATAATTTTATATTTTATTTTGGAATATTTGTTTATATAATATTAAAGATGAATACAAACCAGCAACATACAATACTGTACTCTTTTATTATTATTGATAAGATATAAATTAAATAAGGATAGAATAAGAAATATAAAAATAAAATACTATTATAATATGGAATAAGTAAAAAGCAAAGTGAGCCTAATTTGTGTCTGGAGAAAAAATTAATTATATTTTTATTTTTATTTTGAATATTTGTTTATATAATATAAAGATATACAAACACACATACATACTGTATTCTTAAAAAACGAAAAATAATTAAATGTAATATGTATATACTACATCTACCCTCCAAAACATCCTGTTGATAAATGAGCAAAACGCTGAGGTGGCATATCGGGCGAAAAAGGACGTAAGTCGGGCGGGACCACAGTAAAAGGACCGTGTCGGGTGCGAAACCCATCTGTTACGGAAGACAGAGACGACAACCTACTGCTAGAAACTTCCGTCCATTCTCTCTCTATCTCCGTCACCACCACCACCAATTCACTGTTCAGTAGTACAGTAAGAAAAAGAACACATGCAGGAAATAGAGAAACCACAAAAATAAAAATAAAAAAAGAAAGGAGAAAAACCATTAAATATAAAGAAAGAGAGAAAGCAAACAGCAGTGGTTATCAGAGACAAATACTGATAGAGTACAATACGAGTAAACTGAGAGAGAGAGAGAGAGAGAGAGAGAGAGAGAGCAAAGCGTGCTTTTTATCTATTCAGTACTTTGCCTTTAACAGCAATCATCACCACCACCACCGCCATAACCACCGCTAATATCCATTCTCAATGGCATTTTTGCTAATGTGCGGTTGAGATCCGTTTTTCTGTTTCTCATTTGTAGTGATCTTTTCTGTTGATATTATGGGGAGTGTGTCGTCCGATGATGGTTCTGATCAGCAAAGCGAGAGATGTGGGAGTTACAGTTTGAGTGCTGACGTCAGCGAGTCAGAGAGTTGTAGTAGCTTCTCTTGTCGGCGGTTTGATGGTGGTGAAGGTGCTTCCAGTTCTATAACTTCGTCTCCTCGTCCGCCGGGGAAATCTAGTTTCTCTTTTCAAGGGCCGTTGATGCTGCCCGTCATTGGAGGAAAGGATTTCATGATTTGCGATGTCAAGCCTGAGAAACGGGAAACGGATTTGTCTGGTAGTTCTCATTATTATTGTCATCCTTTTGTTTTTTCTTTCTAAACTTAGTTATTTCACTTGTTGGGTTGTTTAATGTCTTTTATGGTGGATTGAGTGAGATTTGAGGTCAATGAAGGAGATAATTTAGAACCCTTTTTGTTTTCCGGCTGCGGAGAGGAAAACCGACAATTTTTTGAGGTTTTTGTACCTATTTTTTATTCTGGGTCTAGGTGAATCGAAGGAGCTTAGTAGCTTTAATTTATCAAATCTTTATGCAATTTTTTAAATTCCCATTTCAGGAACTCTTGATTTATCAAAATTTTTAGGCAATTCTTTAAATTTCCATTTAGTGTATTTCTTCTATAGGTTTCTCGAGTCTTGGTAACGTGTAGGTAATTATTATGTCTACTACAAATTGCGGTTAATCCTTTGTCCTTTTAGGAATACCCTTCTGAAGTATTTCTATGTTTTTGTAATTTTATTTTATTTATCTTTTTCAGAAGTGGAAATGATGAAAGAGAGATTCGCTAAGCTTCTGTTGGGAGAGGACATGTCTGGAGGTGGTAAAGGAGTATGTACTGCTCTTGCTATTTCAAATGCTATCACTAATCTCTCTGGTCTGTATAAAAGTTCTCTTTTTGAACATATGTATAACATTTTATGATTTTATCTGGTGTTTTATGTTTTTTTTTTTAAGGTCTAAACTTTGCTTTTGTTGATTTTTGTAGCAACCGTGTTTGGTGAGCTGTGGAGGTTAGAGCCATTAGCCCCACAAAAGAAGTCAATGTGGCGCAGAGAGATGGAGTGGCTCTTATCTGTGAGTGATTCAATTGTTGAGCTTGTTCCTTCAATACAACAATTCCCTGGTGGGGGCACATATGAAGTCATGGTACCTCGACCACGGTCAGATTTATACATGAATCTCCCTGCCCTGAAGAAACTTGATGCTATGTTGATTAGTATGCTTGATGGGTTTTGTGACACGGAATTCTGGTATGTTGATCGGGGGATTATCTTGGCTGATGGTGGTGATTGCGATGTGTATCCATCAAGCATTGCAAGTGCAAGGCCTTCAATTAGGCAGGAAGAGAAGTGGTGGTTGCCATGCCCAAGAGTACCATCGAATGGATTGTCAGAGGATGCAAGAAAGAGGTTGCAGCAATGCAGGGATTGCACAAACCAGATATTAAAGGCAGCAATGGCAATTAATAGTAGTGTGCTTGCTGAGATGGAGATACCTAGTGCATACTTGGAAACCTTACCTAAGGTGTGGTTTCTGTCTCTCTTTGATCGAAATGTATGCACCACTAGCATGTTCACTTTGATAACTTTTTAGCGTATTGGTTTGAAACTTTGCTGGTTTGTATTTCTCTCCAGTAAAATCTTCTTTTTCCGTAACAAATGAGGTTCTGAGAGGTGATTTTGTTAGATTTACAGTGCTGGTAACTGCGTATATGACTCTTCTATGAACTTAGATTTCATTTGCATTAGCAAATAAATTGTTGATGCAAAACTCTGTAATGGTGGCTTGAGAGGATACCTGTTTTTATTTACAAACTACAGTACTGGTGTTATTTCATTCTTTTCAGTGATATATTCTTGAAATATTTAAAAAGAATTAGCAACTAAAAAATAATACAGTTGTAGTGTAGCAAAGAAGATAATGTTCTGGTGTGTGCTCTTGTCTGATATAATGTGAGGGAAGACGCTGGTGCAAATTTTGGTACTTAATCCCCTTGGCCCCACTTTTTTGTTTTTTTCATTTTATCTTTCTAAAATACATAAATGTAGAACTGTTGTTTCATTGAAAACCTTGATGGTATGCCCATTGCAAATCTTGCGACCTCACACCTGTCTGGTAAAATGTAAGTTTGATCAACCAATTGGTCCAATTCTATAGCTAAGCTAAACATGTCGCTTCTTGCTTGGAATAAGAGGCCTAATGGAACCATTTTGTGCATACTGTTACTGAAGTTTCTCCTTTTCAGAAGAGTAATGCTCAATGGTTTGCTAATGCCGTAGTTAATAGATTAGCATTCTTGTCTTGCCGTACATATTTCAAATTATTGTGAACTTTTTTTTGGTATTTTTTTCTTGTATATCTCTCCTGAATTTGTCAACAGTATTTTATTACCTTGTAATTCTCTAGCTTTACTTCACCAAGACTCTTGGTGCTTATCAATTTTATTTGTTGAAATCCAGCTGTCTGAAAGTCTGAAACAGGATATCATAGAACTGGAAAATAGTAAATTAGTTTTGGATTATGAAAATATCTCATATGCAATCCTATCGAACAAAGTGCATGTACCTGTTGCATTGAATAGAACTACGGAAATTGGCATGCCCTGTTAATACATATTATTACCTGCATTTTTTGGGGATAATAGCAGAAAATTTTTTGTAGTTTCTCTTCTTCTCCTTTTCTTTATGCATTTTCTTCTCATTCTATGTTTTAACCCTTTTTTTTCCACTTGCCTTTTCTTGTGCAATCACAATCAGAGTGGAAAAACTTGCCTGGGAGATATCATTTACCGCTACTTAACTGCTGAGCAGTTCAAGCCGGAATGTCTTCTTGATTGCCTAGACCTCTCAACAGAGCATCATACACTCGAAGTAGCCAACAGGATTGAGGCAGCCGTTCATGTCTGGAAGCAGAAAGAACAGAAAAAGCCCACGAATAACACAAAAGTTAAGCACTCATCATGGGGTGTTAAGGTCAAAGGCCTTGTTGCTGACACCAAAAAGAATCATTTTATGGCCCATCGAGCTGAGACCCTCTTACAGAGCCTAAGGCTTCGCTTCCCCGGCCTTCCACAGACAGCATTGGATATGAACAAGATTCAATATAACAAGGTATTGCTTCATTGCTTCTTTCATAACAAATAGCTTAAGGGTGCAATTCAATGAATTGAAGAGTGGGCTTATGTGGGTGATTTCTTATGGAATTCCTATCAAGTACTTACTGCATTGCTCGCTTTTTAGAAAGATGCACTAAAAATGAATTTTGTCTCTTAGATTTGTTAATGTTTCTTGTCCTTACATTAGACGCTGTTCAATAAAGTTTTCCTGTGAGCATTGTTGCAGCATGTGATGCAGTTGGTTTCTTTACTATTGATTAATTAAGGATTAATTGAAAAATAAAGTATGATGGTGGTGAAGAGTTTGTTTTCTTGCAGGACGTTGGACAGTCGATTCTTGAAAGCTACTCGAGAGTAATGGAAAGCTTGGCCTTCAACATTATGGCAAGGATAGATGATGTTCTGTTTGTAGACGATGCCTCCAAACGATGTGCTGCAGCAGAATCAATGTCCCTATTCAATCGGAATGGGTTGGGTGGTCTTCCTATTCAGAAGCGGATGTCACCTAGCCCCTTCTCCATCCAACACAGCCCATTCGCCTCTCCATTTGCAACTCCAACTTTCTGTTCTTCCACTCCAGTGGCTGGAAGCCCAGCTAGAGCACCATCCTCTCTAAATAGGAACAACGTGAAGGAAGCAATCGATCAGAAGTTAGAGAAACCATATGCAGCTGACTTTGAGAAGGTTTGGTCGTACACTGGCAACCTCAGTTCAAGAAGAGTTTCTGGAGATGCCCCTGAGCGAGATTGACATTTGGAGAACTTGACTATCTCAAGTGAGAGTTAAGAGCCCTGTAGATGTGAATGTGATTAGGAGCCTTGGATTGTGACTGTCAGGGTCCTAGGGTTGGTATCTAACTTTGTATATTCCTTTAGCTATATATAGAAAGATCAAGTTCTAAAGTTTTGATCATGTGTTTTTGTTTGCACATTTTAAGTTGTAATTGATCAAAGATTATGTATTCCGATAAAGAAAGTTATGCTCTCTTCTATTTTCTAGGCAGGCGTATTTGGCATGTAGTTTAATAAGAAAATAATTGTGGAATAAGCTTCAATAAAAAAAAAGGAAGTGTTAACCGGTGGAATATTAATCAAATGCATTTTTAATTTAACTTGTTTCTTGAATATATATAATTATATATATATAAAAGAAAGTTAAAAGGCTTCCATTTGTTCATTGAAATAGCCTGGAAACTTTTCCTGGTTGCAATATTTTAAAATTACATGAAAATTATTAAAAAATTTTTAATATAAAACCATATATATAAAAGAAAGTGTAAAAGGTTCCATTTGTTCATTGAAAATAGCCTGGAAAAACTTTTCCTGGTTGCAATATTAAAAATTAATGAAAAAATATTAAAAATTTTAATTTATAAAACCATAGAAATATGTTAATCAAATAATTTTCATAGTTTAAAAACTTATTGTTAAACATAAAAATACAAAAAAAAAAAAAGAAAAATGATAAATTGTAAGTTGGTGACTAGCGACCAATGGTAGCTGCTATCAATTAGTGAGTAAAAAAATGTGTAAAATTATAATAAATTTATCAATATATAAAAATGAGAGATCATTTTCCTTAAAAACAATTTAGTTTTCTCCGTTGAACTAAAAATTTGATATCCTTCCAAGCCAACTTAAAATCATAGTTGTTCTACTACAAAAATGTTAATCACGGAGCATGAAGAACTGTAACAGAAACGTTTCACCAATTTATTGTTATTATTAGGGGATCCAAGTCTATACAAAATGATGAATATTCATAAAATCAACTTTAGAAACTAATTAATGAGTGGCCAAAGACAAACTGCACAACATGAAATAAATAAAAAACCCTGACAGGGAAAGGAAATTCAGTCAGTATTGAATCGCCAGTCAATTCTGGACTCCACCCAGATCAAGAAATGAGATTGCACTCGGCTGATCCCTGAAATAGTGAAATGTATAATGCAGCTTCAGGGTGATTGAAGTTTCACTTCCCTGGTAGACGGAAAACAGCAAGTTGTTGATTGACTTTCAACAATCATGATATGAGAATCTCAAGTCTGTCCCAAAACTTTCAGGCATTCACATAGACTGGGATCAAACTCGTAGAGATCCAAGGAAATTTCGGTTCAGGATCTTTGATTACAATACTTGTATTATCTTGAGAACTTCCATCTATCAGAAGTCCATGATCATCAGAAGATACAGTGTATCATCTAAATATCAGACCATGACTAGATTTAATAGGAGCAAAGCAGAAAATTAATTGTTATTTTACAAGGACAGCACTTCAAGTTGATTTTGAGCTTGCACCTGTTAAATTCATAAAATCAGAATCAGCAAACTACTCTGTACATAGACTAAAAGGGAGTAATTGTAAATACAAAATGAATGTGATGGTAATAATTTCAAATCATTTTTTTATCCAATCGATCGAAATAGGATTTTTGAAATAAGGAATAAACAAACTATTGATATTTTGATCATCGCTCCTTTTCTTATATATATATTTTTTTATTTGATTACACTGGCAAAATGATCAATCAAAATAATTGTGGGTCTGCAACTCTCTAATTAGTGACCACTCTATGAACCATATGCTGGCTTAGTCCCACCAGTAAATCAAGATGATCAAAGTGGCCATCAAACACAAAAACTAATAACTAATTTTAAGCTCTTAGATATAAGAAAATTATGAATGTCAGGACACCTCATAATCCAACTACTAAGGCCCCATTTTATATAAGTGAATCCACAAAATTTTCTGGACTTGATTTGGAATTTTATAATCTCACATTTGTTACAAATGAAAATGTTCATTTCACTCTCTTAAGTTCAATTCTATGGCAATTAACATAACTAAAACCAAATTATATCATTTATAAATAAATTCTATATTTCAAGTTCATTCATACTAAACAAAGGTAAAACATTTCCAGTTTTGGATTTTAGCAAACATATTGTTTCTTTGTCATAGAACATCTAAGAGAATTGAATGTGAGGCAGATATTTAGAAGATAGCCAGGGTAGGCATTGGAAACTTGGTTACGTAAAAATAGAGAATTTCAAAACAAACTTCAGAAATATCTCATAGCTGTTAACTTCCGATTTTCAACAATTTCTATGCAGAGATTCATTTGCAAAAGTACATTGATAAACAATGCACTTTCAGGACAAATTGGTTTATGCAGTCCCTACTAAACTGGAATGTAAAAACTTCATTGGAATCTTTATCACGTTTAGAATTTGATCAAAATAGAATTTATGATTCTTATAGTCACTTCGAAGCACTCACCACCCAAAAAAATCCTGCTAGTGAAAAGCAAAATCCCAATACTATTTTACATTGCATTCAATAAATATTATGAAGATTATCAAAATGTTGTCAGAATCATAATGGCCTAACCTTTTTCTAAACATTAGAGGTCAATTTGACTCGGCAATATGTTGAACTAAAACTTAATGCACATGCAGGGATAAAAATTGTAGAAACATTTCCAAAATGCCTACAAGAAAAGTTGACAAACTAATAGCAAATATTAATAAAAGTCGAGCAAATGAAATCGAGGCACAACTAAAAACAAAACTCAGAAAAGTAGTACACAAAGGTCAAAGGAGAAGGCTTACCTCCATAGAGGTTAAGAGTAACCCAATGAGGAGGTGGCCAAAACATCTTCGCATGTTCAGGGTAATTTCCTAAAGGTCCTATTGCGCCACTCTCCAAATCAAATACACCGATGTCTCCACCTACCAATAGTCCATCATCTCCCCCAGACGGATAATCTTCCCTTGGATAGAAGAAATTATCCACAAAAAATATACAATTCCCTTTGCATTCTTTAAGGTCAGAAACTGTTGCAGAAAATGTAGAATCATCACCTAAAAACAACACACGATTGCCCAAGCTTTTCACCTCAATCCAGCTCTGTACTTCTTCGTCTAATTTAAAAACCTTAAACCTTACCGTCCTCTCACTCATATACTGTGCAAGATGCTCCAAATATTCCTCATCAAAGCTCAAACTCCCTTCCCCAGTATCAATACTCAAATACATATCAACTAATAATAACTCCCCATTTGACTCAACCAAATACTTCTTGTCACCACCAAAAACAGGATTTGCAATCAAACTTAACTCTGTGTTCAAACCCACGACCACGGTCCTCCCTGTGTTATCAACCGCATAAAAATTCCCTTTATAAACAATCACATCATCATAAGGAGAAGGCATGTCTTGTATTATAGTCCATTTCTTATCACCACTTTTAAACACAGCCAATTTTCCTGATACATGGATTGTAAGCAACATAAACTCGGTTTCACAATTTAGCCATATTATTACCACTTTCTCCATGTACAAATTACCAATATCAGATGATGACGAATTCGATTTGTAGTTAACGTGATGCAGAACATATTCTTGACCCAATTCAGAAACCCTAAAGTTCAATAAATTCAAAATGCGAGGGAAGTTACTGGGTAAGGAATTTAACTTACACCTTGACAGAGGATTCAACAAGTGCTTTCTGTCGGGGTTATCTTCTTCGATTTTGACGAGCCAGCCATCTGGGTCCGTTTGGTAATGGGAATTGGGTAATCCGATTAGAAATATGGTGCGTCTGGAGAGATAGAAACCGAAGGAGGTATGAGAGATTCCGTCGTTTGGAAGTATCCGGAATGTGCCTGATAATCGGCGAGGTTTTGGGGAGATAGCGGATCGCCATGAAGTGCAAACGGAGCGGAATCGGAGGATATCAATGGAGGTCTCGAGGCATTTGGATATTTGCTCGAGGAGGTCTTTTGGGAGCTGGGCCCATTCAGCCATTTCTCCGGCCTGATTTTCCCGGGAAAGTGAGGGAAAATTAGCGAGAGATGGAGAAGAAAAGTCGTTAGGCTGCAGGGGACACGGGTTAAAAAGGACGAAGTGACTTTTGAGATTGGGCTGCAAATGAAATTGGAGTTGGGCCCCATCCCAAACACCCAATATGATGCTGTTCAAGTCCTATTGATGTTTTTCTATTTTAGAAATTCTATTTGAAATTTTATTATTGCAAGTAGTAAGTCACTGAGCTTCAAAATTTTAATGCCAATTTTGATCCCAGGGTGATAAGTCTAACTAATTGACATTGTGTTTGTCATTACTAATTCATAAAATAGAGGATTTGCCATCTTTATACTTCAAGGATAGAAATATTTCATTAGATGTAAGTTCATAGTTGGAGGGTGTTATGTTAGTTTAGTGATAATTTAATGTAATATTTCTTAAATTTATATAAGATTATTTCTTATATACATGGAAATAAGAAATAAGATAATTAGTAGGATTCATATAAGAATATTAAAATCTCTCTCAATAGGAGATGTTATCCATAAATTTGATGAGACCTAATATGTATAAGTACAAATATCTCCTTGGTATAGTTCACATCATAAGAGTGAAACAAGACATTCATCCATTTAAATAATGGTTAAATATAAAAATTCACCTCTCAACTTTGCAATTTTATTGTGCATTTGAACTTGCAAATTTTGGTAACGTTGCAAAATATTAATTTAATATAGAGTTAGCATAAATTGTGAAATAATAATTTCACATTTTTTCAACTAAGCGTTTAATTGATCTAATTTTTCAAGTTGAAGTGTTCAATAAAATAATTTTGCAAGTTGAATTGTTTAATTGGTGTAATTTTATAAATTGAAGTATTGGATAAGCCAAAATAAAAATTAAGGGTACCACAATTAAAATCGCAAAATTCAAGAGCAAATTTATGTGTTGAGCCTTTAAATAATTCAAACTATTCAATAATAATTCATTCATTCATATCCATTAATTAATGGTCCATTTGACATATTTAAATATAAAGGTCTGAATAATAATTCATTCATTTACATACATATATTTAAATATAAAGGTTATGGTCATTGGACCACCATCATATAAATAATATCGGCTGAATACATAAATTCACCCATGAATTTTGGAACTTTAATTTTGTGGCATCCTAAAATTTGCGAATGACTTATTGTGCACCTGAACTTGTAAATTTTAATAATATAACACACTTTTTCAACACTAATATCAATAATTTTTAGGGTTTTTGACTTTAACAACAAAATGTCTGCTTGATATGTAGTTAAAATGACTTTTCAAACAAGAATTATCATAAATTTTAACTTTTTATTGAGTGTTTAATTGATCTAATTTTGCAAGTTGAAGTGTTCAATAAAATAAATTTGAAAATTGAAATGTATAATAATTATAATTTTATACTTAAATTTTTTGCATGATCTGCATGGAAATTATGTGGGACTTACCTTATCGAGTTCTAGTCTTATTTGATTTTTTGGTATTCCTAACTGAGAAGAAATATAAGAACAAATCCGTTTTTTACTGCAATAATATTTCTTCCTTAAAAGTCAATTAATTTTTCTAATTCGATTTAAAGAAGCCTTATGAAGTCTATATAAGGAGAGATCTGTACACAATTAAAATTATCTTTTATTCTACCCTCATTGTCGTTTCTCTATTTACAAGATAATTATTGCTCCATTCAGGATTCAAATGCCTCGAGGATGATTTGGTTCAGCTAAAATAAAGAATGCTTTATATCTTGCAGACCCTACTTCTCCCTTTCATTCTAAGTGCATCTGCATTCAATACTACAACTTCTCAAGTAGAATCTTTTCACCTAATAGTCTGTGGCATTTTTAGTTTGTCCATCTTTCTCCATCTAAGCTTCTTGTTGTTCATAAGCATTTTCCTTCTGTCACTTGTCTTTTTCACCTAGCCTTACTACGACTTATGCTCCATTTCAGTTAACACATGGCTTATTAGTTACTTCCATTCATGCTCATAAGCTTTTCTTAATAGTAATTGATGATTACTCTAGAAATATATGGCTTTTCATAGTGAAAACAAAAACAGAAGCTAGATAATTATTGCAATCCTTTGTACACTTAGTTGAGACTCTGTTCAGTACCAAAATGAAAACAATAAGAAGTGATGATGCCCCTAAATTTTTAATGAATGACTTTATACTCTTAATGGCATATTAACCCATGAAACCACATATGTAGAGACATGAAAACAAAAACAGAAGCTAGATAATTATTGCAATCCTTTGTACACTTAGTTGAGACTCTGTTCAGTACCAAAATGAAAACAATAAGAAGTGATGATGCCCCTAAATTTTTAATGAATGACTTTATACTCTTAATGGCATATTAACCCATGAAACCACATATGTAGAGACACCTCAACAGAATGGTAGAGTGGAGAGAAAGCACTAGCATATCCTTAACATTATTAGAGCATTGCTTTTTCAATCCAAAATTCCAAAATCTTTTTGGTCATATGCTGTCTTACATTCAGTTTATCTCATGAATGGACTGCCTATTCCTCTACTTAAAGACAAAAGCCCTTTAGTATCAAACCTTACCTGATCTCAGTGACCTTAAATAAAGTCTTTGCTCTTTGTGTCTTGCCACAGCTAGTCACAGGACCAAACTTAAACATAGAGCCAAGAAATATGTTTTTCTTGGCTATAAGCTACCAGTGATCATTCCTTATTTGTTCATGAACAATCTTCTATTTATAGAAGATTGGCCGAAAAATTCTTGTATTTGACCATAACCAGACTAGATATAACTTTTGTAGTTAACCGACTCGGTCAATTCTCATCCAAACCAATAGATCTTCACTTACAAGTCTTACATAGAATTCTCAAATATGTCAAATGTGCTCCTGGAAAAGGCTTGTTCTTCCCTTCCTCTTCTTCTCTTCATTTAAAAGCCTTCAGTAATTAGGAATTTAAGACTGGCCAAGTAGCATTGATACGAAAAGATCAATATCTGGTTATAGTTATATTGGCAATTCTCTCATGAGTTGGACATAAAAAAGCAAACTAATATTTAAAGTTGGACATAAAAAAGCAAACTAATATTTCAAGGTCCTCTTCTGAGGACCTTATATCGTATCCTCGCTGTTGTTACTTGTGAAATCCAATGGCTCAAGTAAAAAAGCAAACTAATATTTCAAACTAATAATATGTTTGTGGCAGGCAGGCAGGGCTTGGTGGCTGGCTCCTAGTTGGAAAGTTATGCATCATTTGCCACCATAAAATGAAAAAAAAAAAAAAAATGATAAAAGGTGCTGCAAAGTGAGTGCAGTATGGTTGATCATGGTCGTGGACCCAAATTCTAATGCTTTCTGCCGGATAAATGACATCGAAGATCATTAAAATTTGAATATTTTTAATTTAATCATATAAACATTTATTTATTTTGTATGGGTCACTAAATTTTAATTTGTTTTTTCTTATTTTATTACATTGGAAATTTTTCTACAAATTATTAGCTCACCTATTTAAATTGACTTATGAACTACGTGTTTACTAACTCAAATTATATTTGCGAAATGTTTGTTTGTGTCAAAATTTTCCATGAATTTTTGCTAAAAAAGATCCCTTACAAGTTCAATTGAAAAAAAAAAAAGAGTTAAAATAGTGATCCAAATGAATCAAATTAATGTTTTGTGATGAGATGTCTCAAATTCGACATCTATCGACTATAAGAGTTTTCACTATTTTGACGAGTAAACAACGTTCTTTTGTCTCTCCAACGAATAAACAAAATTAACATTATGTAACTCAATTTTAAATAATTTTAAACTTTTATTTTGTTTAGCTACTTTCTAATAATTGTATTAAAGATAGGACATGACCTTTTTTAGAGGCACAAATTAATATTAAAATCTTATTTTAAAATAATAATAATAAGGTTTGGAATATATATATATATAGTATAAGTTCTTCTGAATAGCACCATTCTTCCACGACACCGAGATCATTGTTGATTTTTAAAGTGTTTTGTTTCTTTTCTGATTATACATTACTGCTTTTGAAAACAGAAATAATGATAGATTAAAAATGATAGAAATATTTTTAATTGAGGTGCTATTACTATAAAATATCGAAATTGATGTGAAATGGATAAAAAGATTAAATACGATTGAAATTATAAAAATTTATAAAGTTGGAAGCATTTATAAAATTTTTAAATGTGAGATAATTTGACAGTTAAAGGTGCAATTAAGGTAATTAATTGATGATTCTCTTACTTTCTTAAAAAGTTAGTTCATTATGTGTTATCGTTTTGTCCAGTTAAATTATTAAAGAAATCTCAAATTTTTTAATTGTAATCCCAGCAAAGTGTCATAGTGTCACGATCCATTTCCGTGGGCCGGACCGGCACTAGGACCTGGGTGGGCTTAAGGCCCCCGAAGTCCGTAGTAAACCTAACTTCTTTAAATTCCCCATTTTATTCATAATTATGGATTCAGGCCCATTAACTTGTTATACATATGCATCCAAAATACAGTTCATAACAGTTCATATATATTTTAATCTGGACTTTTCATTATTTATTACAACCCAGCTGGAATACATTGCGGAACTCTACTTAACATTTCACATCATTGATTTCCTATCATTAACAGTCCTTTATAGTAAAGTATTTTTCAATTCCAATAGGCTTTCTTTCTTCTATTACCTGAAGAAAAAAAATAGTAGGCAGGGGTGAGTCGCAAACTCAATGAGTAGGGTTAGATAACTAACCCTCATCACCCGCACAACAGTCAACACAGAATGCTACAATATTTTAAATCTGGTCATGTTTTCGTTTAATTTATATGATCATGCAGTTTGTCACACAAATGGCATACAACAGCAATCACAATTATTATCAAAACCTTCATATAATCACATCACGTGTGAAATTAAGTCAGTGGAGTCCAACCAAACCCCCGATGAGCCGTCTTGTATATGATCATGCAGTTTGTCACACAAATGTCAATACAACAGCAATCACAATTATTATCATCTTCATATAATCACATCACGTGGAAATTATTCAGTGGCGTCATCAAAACCTTCGACGAGCTGTACTCTCACATAGTCCATTCTCTCAAATGTGTGCACCTGTAACGCCCCATTTTTCTGTGTCTGAAATAGTAGTTTACCGGTGTGTGAATAGTACCACCAGTCCAGTAAGTCGGTATTATTTTGGTCCGAAAAAATTACTATGTATCTATCTAACATGAACTTCTTTCTTCTTCTCCTCCATTTTAACTTTAGCCTCTCTTTCTCTTCTCTTTGTTTTCTTCACTTATACTCACAAAATCCACCAATTTGACACCATTCAACTTGATCTAAGTGAATTCTATTTGGATGGAACTACCAAATTCTTATGGATAAATGGTTAAGTTAGAATAGTCCATATGGCACATTGCATGAGTTGCATAACTTTATGATTTGTGCATGACTACTTTTATGTATTGAGAGTCTTCTTAAATTCATAATGTAAGCTATACTTATGTCATATATATAAAATAATTAAGTATCCTTTGTTTATCAAATTCCTACTTATCCAAACACTCAAATCAAGCCAATTCAAAACCAGAAAAGTAATCAATCTTTGAGATTAAAGCTTGAGAAATGATATTTGGTGAATAATTTCAAGTAATTTGGAGGACAAAGGGTGGAGAATTTCCTACCAAAGACAAGGGAAAACTAAGGCTTAAAAGAGTCTTATTTAAGCTTGTTAGAGCTTATGTTTAAGGTTAGTGTTCATAAACACTCTTATATTCTTATAGTATTTCTGTATGATTTTTATCCAATGTATATATATATATATATAGAAAATTGAGAATTTTATATGAAATAATTTGGTTATTAAATTTTGGTGGTATACATGTGTTCTTGAGAGATTTCTAAGCATGCTTATATGTTGAATTGATGAAGAAAACAATTTCTTCTTCATTCTCCAAGAGTGGCAGAACCTATTGATGAATAAAGCCCTAAGTTTTCTTGTTATTCTTTGTGGATTTATGATCTTAAATTTATGATCTTTAAGATGATATTTGATGAAGTGATTTAAAAGTAATGTGGTAGAATCTCTACCTTGGTAATAATGAATTTAAGTAAGCTGAAATTAGGAAAAAAGTGTTATTGGTGTGATTAAGGACCCTGTTTTTCGATCCTTGCAATTTCCCATTAGTGTCTGAGTCCTTCATGAAAGTTGTAGGTCTGCTCCTTAGCTTTCAACTCCTCCTCTTGTGTCCAATTTTGGATATATATAGCTCAACTTATGGCTTGAAACACCCCAAACTGACTCTGTTATGACGGGCTACATGCATCACTGAATTGAGTGGCCCTTTTTTGACCAACTATTAATGATAAAGATTATGTTCTGAGTTTCCTTTTTCATGTAGAGTTGTTGCCTGTGTCTTGGGAGACATTCTCTGGTTTTGGATGGTGTGATCTTGAGTGTTCTGGATAAGTAGAAATTTGAATAAACCATTGAAATTAGTTCTGCTTTGATCAGGTTGGACTGTTGGTCCTGTGTTCCTAGCTTTTTTTTGCCATCCTTAAAGATTGATCTGGGTTGTGTCCCTTCAATAACATTTGTATTATTTTGTTTTAGGCTTTCTAATGAATCAATACATCACTATTTGGAGACACAGAATATAAAAGTTTATGTCTTAAAATCAAGTTATGTCTTAAAAACCCAGCAAAGGTCAAGGTTATTTTAATGCTGGAAATTTCCTATGTCTTAAATCATAGGTTTATTTGGATAAGGGTATGAATGAATCATGTGTGATGAAGTTCTCTTGATTCTTTAAGATTTATTTGATAAAAATAAGAAATAAGTTTGAAAAGCGTTGTTGTGGATATGTTTAAATGGATATAAATTGGAAAGGTGTGGAATTGATTTAGATAATGCATGATGAGGGTTGAAATGGATACTTTTGTATATAGTAGTTATGTTAGCATGCTTGATTAGAGAAGAAAATTTCCTCCCCTTGGTTTTCATTAAGAGGTCAAACCACCTAAGGGAAGTAAGGCTTACTTAATTATTATTTTTTTTCTATATATATGACATAAGTATGATTATTTTGATAACCTTCATATGTTTAGAGTTTTTTTAAAAAAAAAGGGTATTTAAGGTGTATGTGCTTTGAATTTTGAATAAGGAAAATATGATTTTATATGATAAGAAATTTCTTCTGATAAATTTCATTATGACTTTAAGAAAGTTTTAAAAGAAAAGGAATTTATGAAAAATTTCCTATATTAAGTAATTATGCATAAGTATGAAATTTTTTGCTATGTTAAGTAATTATGTTTAAGTATGAAATTTCCAGTTACTACGTTCTAAAGTAAGCTTACATTATGAATTTAAGAAGACTAAGAAATAAGACAAGTTTTATGATAAGTGTTAAGAATTAAAAATTAAAACAAGGATTTTGGGCTCTAATATACTTAGTGTGAATTTGATGCGTGATTTGATTTTATTCTGTCTGATGAGCATGCTCGGCACATTCTGATAAGAAGCTATGATCATATGCTAGACACGTGGGTGTCTTCTGTTCTGTTGGGTGTCTTCTGTTCTGTTAGGGCGGACGCGCTCTATATGTTCTGAATCTGTTGGCGACCTAAGGCCATTCTGAATCTGTTCTGAAAACCTATCTGATTCTTTTTCTTCTAAGTGTATGTGAGCCCTTGTAAACATATTTTTCAAGTAGCTTGGAAATAAATGATTATATGTTATTAAATGAATTGTCAAAGCAAGATATTACGTTACATGGTTTTCTAAATAACCAGTATATGTATTGGTGTACTACAATTTCAAATAATGAGCACCACTGAGTTTTATACTCAGCGTGTTGATTTTATCACGCGTAGGTTGGAGTCTATATTGCTGATTGAAGACCAAAAGAGTAGCATCAGAATTTATGATGATAAAATGTCTTAAGTAAAGGATTTATGGTATAAAGAATTAAATTCTTTAAATGTTATTAATTAAAACTAGTAATACTGTGCTATTTTTAGTTTTGCTATAAATGGAAAATGGTAATTTGTTGAACTTTTAATGCATTTTATGATTGTAAATAATTTTATGAAATTTGGTTTTTAAAGTAAGTTTGTCATCGCAACTTTGGTAAGTATGTGAATTATGAAGCACCACTGAGTTTTATACTCAGCGCGTCGATTTTTATCAACACGGTAGGGTTGAAGATCGTGGTTGCTACTTGATAGATTTGAAGAGAAATATTCAAAGCAGAAGTGACTAATTTGGGTAGTAGTCGATTGAGATTTTATGTAAATGAAGAATGATGGCATGTATAGATTGTTAATTTTCAGATATTATGTTATTTGAATATTAGTTAATCTTCAGGTGAAGCCTCTACTGGTTGATCAGATTAGAGCAGCAATATTGATTGATGATGAATATCAAAAGATTCTTTCAGAGACACAAGATGGTAAACGACCGGACTTTTCTATCAGTAATGTAACGCCCCATTTTTCTGTGTCTAAAATAGTAAGTTACCGGTCTGTGAATAGTACTTCAATTATGAAAGTATAAAAGTGTTGTTATGTTATAAAGAGTATTTGGAGATGTTGGAAGTTTAGAGTTTAATTGGAAGTATTTTGTATTCACATGTTTGGCGAGCTCAGTTTTTAAAAGGATATTCTTACAATATTTCTCTTGTAGGAATTTTCCCATGTATATAAAAAAAAAAATGCAAAGGAAAAATGAAATGAAATTTGCTAATTATAAATAAAAAAAAATTTAACTCGCTAAACTGTGTGAATACTCAATTACTTCTAATTCATAATTTTAGTTTTATGATTTAATATGTTAGTTAAGATGGTGTCTCCGGCACCGAATGTGGCATCCCCCGTCGGGTGTCTCCGGGACCTGGGCGGAGGGTGTTTACACGTCCCTCGGCGCACATGGCTCATCTCTCACGTTGACACCAGGCGAGCCGATCCCCCATACTGGCCGCCGGTCTTCCTCACTTTGCCAGCCCCCTCTCATTGTTTTTTCCATTCTCTCTTTTCTTTTTTTCACATACAACAGGAGGCAACTCGGGTCTCCATCCAATCTAGATCATCAGGTGCTCACAACAGGAGGCCACCCTGTGGGCTACAATTAAATCTAGATTATCAGGTGCGCAACAACAAGTGGCCATCCTGTGGTTAACGGTAGGTGCACACGGGGCCCGATCTCCCATTTATCCGGCTAACGGTAATTATAATCAGGATCCATATAATGGTAACGGTAAACGGTAAAGGTAATCATAATCAGGATCCATATAATGGTAACGGTCTCACAAACCCATGGTGACCCACTTCATCCCAATTCCACACAAACAAAGCATATCATTATCACAACAGCACAAGTAAATCAAGCAATATTTAAATATCAAATCAAATAGTGCATCAATATATAGCGATAATGCTGATATTATAATATTAGCAATATTTAAATGAGAGTAGCATAATTAACTAGACTGGTTATTATACACAGATTGACACAATTATTAATTCCCTTTTTAATAATATAATTAATCAATAATTAACGATATTTACGTATTAATTTGAATTTAAGCATTTCTATTTTCCGGTGAAATCTTTAATTATCCTTCAAACTACCTAAGAAGTACGATTCTATATATCGATGTCCATATTTCCAAAATTTTTAACTAATTTCAGTTATCTCTTTATATTCAATTAATTAATTTCTCTTCAAGTTTTATTTATACCGAAACTAGGCCTTACAATGTACCGATCAAAAATTGGATTTGATTTTCGTGATCCGCGCGAAGAGGAGATCATTCTGCCTCTCGGGGTCTTCGCCGGAGTCTCACCGGAGCCTCGCCGGACCACCGCTGTCGCCGCCGTGCATGGTGGCCGGAAAATTTAACCTCGACGCCTCAAGTCATCGGAAGCGATGGGAAATCGCCGGAGAAGTTGTTGCAACGGAGCCAAAGTTTAAATCAAACTCCTTGCGACGAGTAGATATTTTTAGAGTATCTATTTGCCGGATTTGGAGGCCGGTGGTCGGAGAACGAGAAGAAAAGGGGAGGGGGGTTGTTGAGAGAGAAGAGCGAGAGAGAGACCACTGAGTCTCTCTTCTCGTTTCTCTTTTCGTTCCTCTTTTTCTTTCTTCTCTTTTTTTTTTTTTTTTTTTCTAGAATTTTCTAATTGGTGGATGGGTTTGGGTTGACTTCGAGTCTAGTTTGGTTTAAAACATGGTTTAGCTTGGTTTTTCAATTGATTTAATGGATTTTTCATCTGGTTTTCGAAAATTAATTTGATTTTGGGTCCCGGTTCAATTTATTTGAAATTCATTTTGTTCAGTTCCGTAATATTTTTCTTCAATTTATTCGGAAAAATTATTTAATAACAAAGAGATATTTAATTTTTAGGCTGATTAATTATACAGTAGTTACCATATATATAGAACAACATTTTTAATCGATTAAACAATAGTGTTCCATTTTATTTTACATCGAATTTTTAAGTATTTGAACCAAACGAAATTCTAAATAATTATGTTTTTTGGGCTTGGGCCCAAATTCGTAAAACTTTGGGCTCAATTAGCAATTACTCGTCTTAACACCATATTTTCATAAATCTGGATTTTTGATTTAATGAAAAATTCAAAAGTTTTGAAAATTAAAAATTTGAGTTTTGAAAATAAAAATTTGAGGTATT